GTATTGCAACACTAAACCACCTCCTGCTAAATTCATCACTTATTTAGCTGATTTCTTTCTCTCTCTCTCTAATGCTCTAATGCACACGAAAGACTTAAAATGTTATTATAAATTTGGGAACCAAACTGAGGATACATAGGCCGTTTAACCTAGGCAGTAAAAATATGACAGGGAGGATTTCTAATTAGAAGAGAGAACAGAGATCATAATTCAAAAGCATATGTTTGTCCTATTGAAACTCTTTGAAACATAGGCTGTTTTTTTTTTTTTTAAGATTTTATTTTTTTATTTGACAGACAGAGATCACAAGTAGGCACAGAGGCAGGCAGAGAGAGAGAGGAAGGGAAGCAGGCTCCCTACTGAGCAGAGAGCCCGATGCGGGGCTCGATCGCGGAACCCTGAGACCATGACCTGAGCCGAAGGCAGAGGCTTAACCCACTGAGCCACCCAGGCACCCCACATAGGCTGTTTTTATTCCTTTGTACTATACAGCTAATAGTTTTTAGTGACAAATATTGTAACTTTTGGCTGCTTTTCCTCTAAATAGTTTCAGTCTAGTAAACATAAATTACAGAATTGAGTTTTTTCTCTGTCACTACATTTTTAACAATTCTCTTCATTAATGTTCCTGGAACACTGGAATCAGTACATTATGTTTGACATTATAGCTACAGAAATAGAATTACCATATCATTCAAAAATGCCAAATTCCATAGGACCCCACAGTATATTTTTCATTTTGCAATTTTTAAAATTCAGTGTCATTTATAGTTCTCTAAATGAATTGCTTAAGAAAGCCTGATTTTATTCTTGGTAAGTAGAATGATGACCTATATTGTGTATGCACACTGTTTATGACCAGAATAAGGCTGATTAGAACACAGTATGTTACCATACGTGTCTTTGTTTAAATGGTCATAACTATACAGATAACTTCTACTCTTTTGGGTTCTGGAATGTCTGCTTAGTTTAATTTACAAGGGGAGTTAAAGTTAAGGAGAACATCTTGTTTTGACGTCATGTTTGACATTACCCTTGTCTCACCTTGACACTTTAAAGTTGGTGTTGGTATTAGGAGACCTGCACATCCCACACCGGTGCAACAGTTTGCCGGCCAAATTCAAAAAACTGCTGGTGCCAGGAAAGATTCAGCACATTCTCTGTACTGGAAACCTTTGCACTAAAGAGAGTTATGACTATCTCAAGACGCTGGCCGGTGATGTTCATATTGTGAGAGGAGACTTCGATGAGGTGATGTATTTCTCTTTCCATTCACAAATATTTCTTTTGATACTTACATGTATAAGCTTTATCCTTTACACCTGAGTTTCTCACCTGTCATGGTCTTTTTATTGTTAACTTCCCCAATACAAATTTACTTACACTACTTTTTCCTTACTCTTTAAAAATCACCGTGTTAGACTAAACATATTACCATACTTGTTCTAAACTGATTGATATGGACTAAAAGTGATTTTGTCACTTTTTTATAGTACTATCACTTAGTTTATAAAGTTTTTATTACAGACTTTTCACCACTGCCTTTACTACCCTGTTCCAAGCCACCATATCACTTTCCTGTGTTCCAGCTTCCTCATTCTACCCTTCCTCCCTTCATAGTTAGTTCTCCAAGTAGCAACCAGTGTGATCCTTTTTAGGTGAAGTAAGATCACATCACCACTATGCTGAAAACCCTGCTGTGGGTCTCTAACTCCAGGGTTAATTACGAAAGGGCATGAGGAAGTTTGAGAAGGTGATAAAACTGTTGTGGGTCTTGGTTGTGGCAGAGCTTATATAATTGTATGCATTTGTCAAAACCCCTTAAATTATACACTAAAAAGAGTAATTTTAGTATATGTGAATTATACCACAATAAACCTGACTTTATTTTTTTTTTAAAGATTTTATTTATTTATTTGACAGAGATCACAAGTAGGCAGAGAGGCAGGCAGAGAGAGAGGGGGGAAGCAGGCTCCCCGCTGAGCAGAGAGCCCAATGGGGGGCTCGATCCCAGGACCTCAGGATCATGACCTGAGCAGAAGGCAGAGGCTTTAACCCACTGAGCCACCCAGGCGCCCCTAAACCTGACTTTAAAGAACAGTTAGAAGTTCTGAGATTGCAGCTTTGTTCATTAGTTAATAATGAGATTTTAGGCAAATTACATCTTTCTGGCCTCAGTTTCCTCTTATGTAAATATGATTGGAGTAGATGATTTTTAAGACCCTCAGCCCATACTAACATATTATTCAACATGATAAATCTGATGTGTGAAGAATTTTTTTGCATTTCTGGGAATATAAGCTTTTTCACAAATCATTTAACTTCATTGGTGCTGTTTATTGGTGTTCCTTAATACAAAACTGAATAAGCATAGTGTCTTTTTCTTTTCTTTTTTTTTTTAGTGGATTTTAAAAAAGAATTCAGATAACCTTTCACCTGGGGGCGAAAGACAGGGAGATGAGAAGGGAAGGGCAGATTTCTTGTCAATAAACAGAATATAGGTTTGGTTTGTTAAAAACATATTTGGGGTTCTGTTTATATTATGCTAAAGACAAGTTGGGTAGCAAGAATTAACATTTTTTGCTTCTGATTTAGCTTAACCACTTACTAATGTGTGACCTTGGGCAAGTTACTTTAACCTTTCTTTGCCTCAGTTTCCTCATCCATAAAGTGGGAGTCATAATAGAACCTACTTCTTAGGATTGTCAGTATTAAATAAGTTGATATTTATAAAACCTTTAGTGCCTGCTTCATACTAAGTGCTGTATGAGTGTTATGTGTCATTATTATTTGAAGCCATCTATATAATAATTAAAGTCTGGGATATAATTTGAACACACCTAGCTTATAGGTCATATACCTAGGATTCTTAGAGGAAACTAACAACTTTAGGGGAATAATTATTCTCTACAGCTGTCCCTAAAGAACCCAGATTCTGTTTTTAAAAAAAAAGATAAACACGAGGCACGGATTGTGTGATAAATTCCAGTTTCCCTGAAATAAGGTATGTTTTGAGCCTAGTTGTAGCCTTAGAGACTGAGGAGTAATCATATATTTAGTAAATGTGTTGGTTGTGGAGCACTGTATCAAAATATCCACATGGGATGAAATACTTAACCAGGTTAAGTACTAAATCAGTTGTTTTTAAACATCAGTATCTCTTAAAACATATATGTATATACATATACGTATATATGTATATAATGTCTGTTTCTTATTCTAGAATCTGAATTATCCAGAACAGAAAGTTGTGACTGTTGGGCAGTTCAAAATTGGTTTGATCCATGGGCATCAAGTTATTCCTTGGGGAGATATGGCCAGCTTAGCCCTGTTGCAGAGGCAGTTTGATGTGGACATTCTTATCTCGGGACACACACACAAATTTGAAGCATTTGAGCATGAGAATAAATTCTACATTAACCCAGGTTCTGCCACTGGAGCATATAATGCCTTGGAAACGTGAGTAGTAATTCGGGAATTTTGTAAAGTTAATAATTGCATGTGTGACATTTCATGAAGGAGGAATGCAACTATTTCAATAATTACAGCCTTTTGGGCAATCTTCTTTGGGGGTTATTTTCAATATATAACAACTAGAATTCTCCTTGAATCCAAATTGTTATAAATTGAAATTTTCAGTGCTGGTGCTTTTTAGTACAAAACACTGACATTATTTATATTTTTTTCCAGAAACATTATTCCTTCATTTGTGTTGATGGACATCCAGGCTTCTACAGTTGTCACTTATGTGTATCAGCTAATTGGAGATGATGTGAAAGTAGAACGAATTGAATACAAAAAATCTTAAAAAGCCAGACCTGTCTTGCTGGGTTTTTTTTTTTCATTCCCCTGTTCAAATCAAGTAATTAAACATATGAGCCACAAAATTGTATCACTTTTATAATATTTTGCAGTAAAATATATCATCTTCTGTTAATACAATGTTCTAAGCTTCTTGTAAACTATAAGAATATATTCGGTTTCCATATTTGATTTCTATGAAAAAATGTCCATCATACAGTAAATGGTCATGCGTTAAGAAAAATTTATCCTTGTAAATATCTTCAAAGTTGATTATCTGGAACTTTATTACAAAAGTAGTGCATGAGGAAAATGAATCTAGATTTTCTTGTATACGTTTTTCTCTCCAGTAATAAACAGTTACCTTTCATTTATACTTCCTTGATAAGCTGTGTTTTAATTTTTAAAAATCATGAAAATGAGAGACCATATGAAACTGCGCCTAAGCATTAAAGTGATGAGGTAGATGGGTTGACTTTTGGGGCTCTCTCATTTCTTACAATGCTCTAGAGGTCATATTTTGGGCTCAGATTTGATTTTCTAAAAAATATACTTATTGACATATTAGCAATAATTCCTCAAACTGCTGCTTTAAATTGCCCTATTCTTTATTTCAAGTTTTAATTGTGTATGTATACACACACACGCACACACACACATATTTTTAAACCAGTGTTTAGAAAGGAAGCACAGTAGAGTGAATATATAATGTAAAGAGTCTTCTTGGTACAATTACTTCCAACTTACTCTGGTTTGAGAGTCCAAGCGTTTGGCAATTTTCATAAAATAGGGCAAGTTGATACTTCCCATTTTTAAGTTATATTCAAGCAGTAAATATCAAGTGCTATTTTGTATCAGACTATTTGAGAGCTTTCCTTAGCCAGATCAAGAAAATACTTGGGGCCCCTGGGTGGCTTAGTGGGTTAACCTTCTGCCTTCTGCCTTTGGTGTGGGTCATGATCCCAGGGTCCTGGGATCGAACCCCTCATCAGGCGCTCTGCTCAGCGGGGAGACTGCTTCCCCCTCTCTCTCTTTCTGCCTGCCTGTCTGCCTGCTTGTGATTTCTGTCTGTCAAATAAATCAAATATTTAAAAAAAAAGAAAATACTTATAGGGGATTCTCATGTTTTTGTTCTAGGACTTACTATATGGAGAAAAAGAATTTAGCAATTTATTGGACAGATTTAAAGAAAAATACAATTTTAAGTGACAAGAAAATTTTTAATTGTATCTAGCTAGAAATACAAGCATATATTACACATAACTTTTGTTACACAAATATCATTAGTACATGGAACTACATCAACCAGTTAATTACACTGTTGTAAACATTTCTGAACAAACTAAAATTACTTAATGACTTCACGGTGAGTAACAATACTATCCTAAATGTAGAAAGAGGACACAATTCACAACCCTCCCCCCGCCACCTTGGCACCTCATCAATTCACAAGACTGTCAAGTTCACATCAGGTGTTCTCCTTGTTCTTCAATTGACATCGATTGCATACATTTATTTAGTAAATCTTCTTCCTTTTTTTCTTCATTCATGTATGATTCAGAATCATTTGTAGAAACTGTAAGAAAAATAAGTTTATAATGTCTGTTTTGGAAATACAGGTGTATTTCCTGAAAATGGAGATTTGTATATAAGAACAACCTTCAAAATGACCTTAGTAGTAACCCTTTCACAAAAACAAATGGCCTGCAATTTTCAAAACTTAACCACTTCCTCCCCCCAAATCCCTTACTTTCCCAGTAAGTACTGTATTCAGCAAAGTTATTGTATAGCACATTTTCTGTCACTAAGTCCTATTTTGTCTTCACTTGTCAAAATCTTTGGGTTACAGGAAAGTCATAGCTTCAGCATTCTCTCTGTAAGCATTAAGTTCCTACTCCTTTCTCTCTCAGGGATTATAGGGACTTTCCCCCTACCTGGGCTTCCTCCAGCTATTATTTTGGGACCTAGACTTACTTTTTCCCCTGCCATAACCCTCATTTCTTGGACTGTCACACAGCATTGGGATAGGGGTTCTGAAGGCCTAACTTCCCTACTTTGTATTTTCTTCCTACTCACTGTAGGAACAACTACAACATTATTTAACTTCCACTTCATCCTTCCCACTTTATCAATTCTGAGGAATCCTTCTGAACATTCTTTCTTCCCCTTTGGCCCTTTTCATTTTGTGGTCTTCTGAACCTGAAGGATCCTTGGGCACCTGGGTGGCTCAGTAGGTTAAGCCTCTGCCTTTGGCTCAGGTCATCATCTCAGGGTCCTGGGATTGAGCCCTGCATCGGGCTCTCTGCTCAGCAGGGAGCCTGCTTCCCCTTCTCTCTCTATGCCTACCTGCCTCTTTGCCTACTTGTGATCTCTGTCAAATAAATAAATAAATTTTTTTTTTAAATGCTGATGAACTTTTAGGTTCCTTTATGCTGATTCTTACCAACTCTGGACTTATCTGAGTTGCTCTGCAAAATTGTGATACCACTTGGTTGGCTTGCTTCCACTGGTGTGTTGAATATTAAATAAAATTTATATAGGTGATACAGCCCTCTATGATGCCATACAAAATGCTTTGTCCCATCCAAAAATGGCACTATCTCATAAAAGTGCTATGGCTTGAAAAAGTCATGTTTATGGCTCTGGGTTCTAACAAATTCATTCTGTTAAAGTCTCTGACCTTGATATTGTAAATACCTTTGTTTAGAAGTACCTTGAATCTTACTCCCCTGAGGTGAGTATGTTCTTTTAAATGAAAGCAGAAACTGTATTTCATACTCACTTGGAGAATTATAAGCAAATCACATTCTAAATTTTAATGTCTTCTGTAATAGAAATTAATGGGTTTAATATTTTTTAAGCATAAGATCTTTCAAAATGCATATTTTTAAAATTCCACATTTACCTGATTGCATGAACAGTCTGCCTGGTTTTCTAAAAATCTTCAGTGACTTACATCTTGTTTTAGATGCATATCCAGTTTTTAAACTATAAGAAAGAGAAGCATCTTAATTGGAATCAGCAAAATCAACAGCTGTCTAATGCATGTGGAGGACCATACAAATTCTTTTTATTAAGCTGCCAGCATCACCAAAAAGACTCTTTCAGTCTCCTAGGAGTAATTAACCCTGAAACACAAAGCTAACTATTTTAGTGCAGGTTGAATAATCAGTCTTCTTCTTCTCTTTTTTTCTTATTTCCTTTTTTGTTTATAGTTTTCTCCTGTGCAGAAGCAACCATATGCTCCTTCTGGAAGTGTTTGTACTATTTTGAATTTAAGTGGGAATTACTGAAAAGGCCAGTCTTGCCTATCTCTAGCTGATCAAGAAATTTTTACAATTCCACAAAATGTGTTCTAAAAAGAGTGGCATATCCCAGTGAGATAAGTAAAGAGACTATAAGATCCTTTTGTGCTTTTCGTCTAACCTCTTCTGAATTTAGCCAAATGGACCTACTAGGAAACAAGCTTTAATCTCATTTAGCTACCGTTCCAATAAAATTGGGGTGTATTTTCCTCTTTTTAAACAACAAGAAACAGACCCTTCTTTGTTTCTCACTGGTCGCCAAAGGGAATGCTGTAGGATCATTTCCGGTGCGGGTGCAGCAGCCATGTCAAGGGGCCCTGAGTCCACTCTCTCCAGTTGGTGTCGCCATGTGGTGCAGGGGTAATGCTGCTTCTGTGAGTAACGAGAACCGAGGCGGCTCCTGTGATGAGTGAGGATACCTGTCATACAGATCACCTCTGTTAGAAGACCCTCTAGTTTCTTGTGAGAACTAGTGAGAAACGAACAAGGTGCACCTGCCTGGCTTTTGTGAGCTGTGCTGGATCACGTGCATGTACTGCCTCTTCATTAACGTCCGCAGATAGTTGGCGTTATAGATCTTAGCAATGCTACACAGATAACGCTTCTGGCCTGTGGTGAGGTCTGGATGCTAAAAGACAAGATTTATAGGCACTGTAGAACAAGAGGTTGGCAAAATTCCTCATCTGAAAGGGTGGATGTTCAGGAGAGCCGCACCAAACGTACATTTTGCTTATTCAAATTCAACTATGCTAATCTGGCCGAAAAGAGAAAGAAATGGCCATTTAGACAGCACACGTGGGTCCGCCTGCCGTTTCCACTCAAGTGATTCAGATGTGTCTGAGGGGTGAGAACCACTGCCCTAGAAGAGTAAGGAGAGCAGGGATATGCTGCTCTGTCCGTGAGTCTTAGTTCCTGTGTGCCTCAGTGAGTGTAGGCATCTACCTCAAATACAATTTTTGAGGTATCCTGTGGCATCTGAAAGCGACTCAACTACTCTATTTGGTCTTAACTAAAGAAACAGTCTTTTCTAGCACCAGAAGAATAACTATCTGTGTTGAACATACTGAGGGATAGTCTATGGGTCTTTGGTAAAAGTAATTTTAACTAAGATTTTCACTTGCTGATTTTAGAAGGTAACACTCACTTAAAATGTATATGTATGGGGGCGCCTGGGTGGCTCAGAGGTTAAAGCCTCTGCCTTCGGCTCGGGTCATGGTCCCAGGGTCCTGGAATCGAGCCCTGCATGGGGCTCTCTGCTCCGCGGGGAGCCTGCTTCCTCCTCTCTCTCTCTGCATGCCTCTCTGCCTACTTGTGATCTCTGTCTGTCAAGTAAATAAATAAAATCTTTTTAAAAAATGTATATGTATGTGTGTATACACAGGATTTACTGAACTGAATAGGTAAATCCAGGGAAAAGTCAAAATGTTGGTCGGATAAATTGACCAATTTGCACAGATCTATTGTAATCTTCATTTGCACTGCGCTCACAACGATACTTCTGGTAGTTATGACCTTTAATAATGGGTAATAGAGGTTCGACCATCTTAAAATGCTGACAGCCATTTTCTTTATTTGCTTGCTTCTAATTTTGCAGACCTTCAGTGGAATCTGAATGAAAATGAGTCTGGGTTTCCATCTCTGGAATGTAACTTTCCTTATCATAAAGCCCTCAAAGAACTCTTAGGATAAAGAATCTAGGGGCACCTGGGTGCGACTAGGTGGGTTAAAGCCTCTGCCTTCGGCTCAGGTCATGATCCCAGGGTCCTGGGATCGAGCCCCGCATCGGACTTCTGCTCGGCGGGGTGCCCGCTTCCCCCTCTCTCTCTGCCTGCCTCTCTGCCTACTTGTGATCTCTTTCTCTGTCAAATAAATAAATAAAATCTTTAAAAAAAAAAGAATCTATAATGATAAAAATCCTTGTATTCATTTCATGAGTTTACTCAGCAGATAGTTATGGACTCCTGGATGTAAGCTGAGTATACCTTATCTTCTGAAGTGCCTTACCCTCTAAGTAGCTCATCTTCAATAATAAGTTCATATCTGAATACAAAGAATTTGGTACTTCAACAAAATATTGGTATTTAGTTAGCATACCTTTAGAAAGGACGCATCTGTCATTGATTTAGGGATGTGTATTGCTTGAATTTGAGGAGTTTTCCACAACTCTTGCAGCTTGGCTATGTGTGTGTTCACTTTGTGTCCATCTTTGATTCTGTCTGTAGGCAAGGACATATGTGAATTGCATGAACAAACATCAGCTCAATAAACTGATTATTAATATCTATATATTTACACGGGTCTGTGATTATCCTGGAGTAGGAGTAGGAGTCATTCTGTTAAATTTGAAGAGACTGTTTGATATGGCCATTTGGTTTTAGAGCATACAAAACTCTAAAGATATTTATGAACATTTACTACATATATATCATTATATAGAGACTACATTATTTTGAGCTCAGCTGAGATGCAAACTGTTGACGGCAGCTTATTTTTGTTAGCTGACTGTATGTCAGACCACATTAAATAGAAATATACATGCAGAAGTTGCACTGTAAAGATTTACAGCAATATTTTATCATTCGACTTGAGCATATAGTATTAAAGTCAAGATAGAATAACACAAATTTTATATCTTTTTTTTTAAAGATTTTTTATTTATTTATTTGACAGATAGAGATCACAAGTGGGCAGAGAGGTAGGCAGAGAGAGAGAGGAGGAGGCAGGATCCCTGCTGAGCAGAGAGCCCGATGTGGGGCTCGATCCCAGGACCCTGGGACCATGACCTGAGCCGAAGGCAGAGGCTTTAACCCACTGAGCCACCCAGGCGCCCCACAAATTTTATATCTTTAATGAGACAGTGTTAAAAGGGCTTTGCAGAATTTTACTAAAACTTATTTTTACACAGTTTCAGTTATTTCAATGTTTTTAATACTGATGTGGGTAGATTGAAAGAACAGTCATTTAATAAAAATAAAAGTTGAGGCATATCTCGAAGAATGAAACTAGTTTTCCGTTTCAGATATTGCAACCAGGAACTTAATTTAGGGTATAAACTTCAGTAGCACTTTGGGGAAAAACAGTATCTGGAAAAATTTAACTAGTAAATAACTATAACACTCCCCTTCTTCTCACATACTCGCCTCCCTCCAGACGGCTTTCTACCACTATAGTTAGTATCACTGTAAATCAGTTTGCATTTTCTTGAGTTTGATATAAGTGGAAACATACAGTATATATTCTGTTTGTCTGGCTTCTTTCACTCAACATAATTATACTGAAATCAATCAGTGTGTGATATGTAACGATAGTTCATTTCTTTTTATTGTTGGGTTATATTCCAATATATCACAATTTGATCATCTATCCACCTGTTGATGGACATCTGGATTGTTTCCAGTTTTATGCTAGTACAAATAAAGCTGGCAGAACAGATTTTTAAGTAAAAAGCTTGCATTTAGGAAGTCAAATTAAATAATCACGGTTTTGTTTCAGTACTGACAACAAAGGTCACTACAGTTTTACATATTAAACTTTATTTATTTCTTCCAGATTTTGACAAATTGGGAGAGTTAATTCAGATAAGTAAGGGTTACATGTGCTTTACTGAAGACTAACTCACTCGTTTGCCAACAGATGGAAAATCATCTGGAAATTATGTTATTACAACCTTTAAGATATAATTTGGAGTCTATAATAATAAAAGTTAAATTTTTTAAAAAATCCCTTTTCAAGTCATAAATGTGGACTAATTATCTAAGAATTTATCTTTGTGTCCCTGCTAATCAATATTTCTGAGATGCGTTATTGTAGCCTGGACTGAAATTCAACTTCTCAAAACCTTGATAGCATTTCTTTACAGAACATGAAACATTTAAAAGTATTAAGGGCTCCTGGGTGGTTCAGTCAGGTAAGCGGCTGACTCTTGATTTAGGATCAGGTCATGATCTCAGGGTCTTGAGAGTGAGCCCCACATCCCAGCAGCAGCAGGGGGCCTCCTTGAGATTCTCTTTCCCTCTGCCCCTCCCCCTCTCAAATAAATAAGTCTTTTAAAAAAATAATAGTTAATGGGGCGCCTGGGTGGCTCAGTGGATTAAAGCGTCTGCCTTCGGCTCGGGGCATGATCCCAGGGTTCTGGGATCGAGCCCTACATCGGACTCTCTGTTCAGCAGGGAGCCTGCTTCCTCCTCTCTCTCTGTCTGCCTCTCTGCCTACTTGTGATTTCTGTCAAATAAATAAATTAAATATTTAAAAACAAATTAAAAAAAATAGTTAAAGAGAAACAACCAACTGAAAAATGGGCAAAGGACTTGAATAGACTTTGGATGTCTCCAAGGGAGAAAGTACAAATGGCCAATAAGCACATGAAAAGATGCTCACTATCGCAACTCATTAGGGAAATATAAATAAAACAACGATGAAGTCCCATTTCATACTCATAAGGATAACTATCATTTAAAAAAAATGAAAACAAGTGTAAGCTAGCATGTGGAGAAACTCAGACTGTGTGCATTGCTGGTAAGAATGTAAAATGGTGCAGCTACTGTGGAAACAGTGTGGTGGCTCCTCAAAAAATTAAACAATGATCACCATATGGTCCAACAATTGCATTTAAAAACCACAGTATTTATACATATATATGCATTTTTAGGTATGTATATACACATAGATATGTGTCTGTGTGTTTTTCTCAGGTTCTGTAAGGACTATACATTTTCCAAGGAAGAGAATGAATCTAGGTTTATAGATCATTGAATTGAAATTGCTCCCCCCTTGGGGCACCTGGGTGACTCAGTGGGTTAAGCCTCTGCTTTTGGCTTGGGTCATGATCTCAGGGTCCCTGGGATGGAGCCCCACATTGGGCTCTCTGCTCAGCAGGAAGCCTGCTTCCCCCACCCCCCGCCCTGCCTCTCTGCCTACTTGTGATCTCTGTCTGTCAAATAAATAAATAAAATCTTTAAAAAAAATAAAAAGAAAAGAAATTGCTCCCCCCTCAAAAGAAAAAAAATAGTGATCTGCCTTTGGGGGTTTGTCTTACTCTTAATTCCATCAGCTTTATCCTTTAAGTGAGAGGAAAATAGCAGCGTTGAGAAATATTTTATATTCTTTGAAGTTGTTCAAGTTAGAATTTTTTCCTTCAATTTATAAACCCCAGGCCATACTCTATGCTTTTCAAACATCAGTTATAACACAGTTCTTTTCAGATTCATTGCTATTTTGAAGCACTCTTTTTAAAATGCTTGATGTGAAATGTCTTAACAAGAGAGAAAGAACCTGCTGGATTGTTCTTTGAAAATCTTAATGACTAAGGTCACCAGGATGCTAATAAAGTCTATTTTTAAAACTCCATTATGTTTGTAGTGATAGCAAAATTAGCATCTGTGAACCATGTTTTTTGGTAGATATTATCTGCTTTATATGTTCTACTTACCAATACCTTTGGAATTCTGATAATAAGAATGTCCAGCTGATCTGTTGGAAGGAAAAAAGGATTTAAATAATATGTAATAATTGACAGCTTTATAAGCATTAAAGAAAGTATTTCAAATGAAAAAAGACAGTATTGCATATGCTTTTTACTTTTCATGTTTCTATCAGATGGAATGTCTTGCAAATTTTCTCCTGTAACCCTGGTTATATCCTAATGGCCCCAGGCTTTTTCAAAGTGGGTTATCTGAGGTTTTTACTATACTAGAAAGGATTTACCTTAAGCCAGATTTGGTCTTACTTTTAAGGCCTTTTAATCTAATTCCTGCATTGAGCTCAATAAAGAATTTGGGCTTCTGTGTTATCTGTGGTATTTCCTGGCTCTTTTTATTTTTAATAAAGTAACTTGGATATGGAAAAGACTATCTTGTTCTTTACTGTATGTAATTAAGGTATACTGGAATTGATAAATTGGTCTGGAATGTTTCTATTTTTGTACAAGTTCTTTTTTCTTCTTTCAAATTAAGACAAAACACACATCCTTCCTGCTTCTTTCAATTTATTCAGTGACCAAGTGTTCATTGATCTCCTGATATATGAGGATCCAGCACTTAGTCAAACACAATAATGAACAGAAAAGAAAGCCAAGACCCCATCTTTAACAGCCTTCCAGGGGCCCCTGGGTGGCTCAGTTAGTTAAGCGGCTGACTCTTGATCGGGGCTCAGGTCATGATTATGATCTCGGGGTCCTCACTCAGTGGGGAGTCCGCTTAAGGATTCTCTCTCTCCTCTACCCCTACCCCTCCCGCGGCCTCCACACTCTCTCTCCCAAATAAATAAGTGTTTTTAAGAAAGCCTTCGATCCACTATATATATATAAAGTGGTCATGGGTGCAGCAGGAGCCATGACTGTGAGCTTTTGGAGAAACACCCTGCAGCTTTCACTCTTAGGGAATAACTGATGGAAGCTATGAGGTCCTGAAGACTAGTTGTCATCAGCATCCAGGAAATAATATAAAAAAACCTGCTCAAAATAAAATGGGTTTATGAAGAAAAACTTCAGGGGGAAGAAAATGTCAAATCAAGGTGCCTCTAATATTCATAATTATCTGTCACATCAGCATTATGAATTCCCTGGACCTAAAGGTGGCTAATGTCGCACACACGGAACTGATTTATTGACTTGGAAACCCTGGGTTGAACCTGTTTCTGCTGGGCCCTCAACCCCCTCTTTTTTATAGAGATCCTGTGGGAGATTGCATGTTTTCCAGCAGGTTTCGCAGCGCCCCCTCGAGGCAGAAAAATGAACCCAAGCAATTGTCGCAGTCACCGCGTTTAGTCATTGCACCAACACTCAATCCTACCTCACAAGCCCTTCCCCTAAACAGTGAGTCGGCTTCCATCTGTCCTACCCCGAGCACAACAAAGGTTGTCCCCTCCTCTCACTTCAGTCCACCGGGGACGAGTCCTTTGGAGCAGCCAGCTCCCACCCCCTCCTCCACAGGGGATCACGACCCGGAGCCGGTCATCGTCCTCCCTAACCCTTCAGGGCCCCTCAGCCTCACCCGCCGCCGCCACCCTCGGTCCCGGCCACTGCGGGAGGCTCTGCGGAAGAGCTGCATTCTGTCCAGTCGGACACCGGACCCTGGCCGGGCATCTCCTCCCCGGTGCCCGGACCTCGAGCGGTGTGCGGAAGCAGCTTTCCCCTCTCCCCTCCCCAGTCAGCACGCGTGCGTCAGGCCGGGCGATATTGGGGGTGAAGAGGCGGACGCCGTATTCTAGCCCCCTCCGATGTACTTCGGACACTGCCCGAATAGCTTCGGGAGAGCGGGGAGGGCAGATGCACGACGCTGGAATAAGTTGGGGGAGGGGCAGGAGTTCTTTAGTTGATTGCGCGCTTGCACGGTTTGTGGAAGGGATTAGTACATGCCCTCTAAAACAGGAGGTGACTTCCAGACTCTCAGTATTCCAGACCCTCTACAAATTTGCAAATCTTGAGTGTCACCATAAAGGTCAAAGACCAGGATGCAAATCAAGGACCGAAGTCCCCAGCGCAGGGATGCAGAATGTTAGCCGTTATCCGTTATCACCAAGGCAACCAGGCGTCTCTAGCATCCCAACTGCCAATTTCCGCCAGCTACTTCTGCGCACGCGCACACCTCCTTCCCTGCCTACCTCCCCGCTCGCCCTCCGCCCCCGCGCTGAAGTTTCCTGAGAAGGCGTTTCACACGAGATTTGACCTGCGGGACGCTCCGTAGTCAGGGACTTGCTAGAACAGAAGGCACAAAAAGACTTTGGATTGCGATTGGTTCGCACGTGGGGTTCCCGGAACTCAGTGAGCGCCGCGCGAAGGCTGAAGGGAGCGGGGCGGTCAGCTTCTGTTGTGCCGCGGGCGGCACCGGCCACCGGGACCGCAGACATGCCTCGGTATGCGCAGCTGGTCATGGGCCCGGCCGGCAGCGGGAAGGTGAGGATTTGGTCGGAGAAGAGAAAAGTCGGAGAGCTCGTGGGAGGCAGGGAGGGGATCCTGGGATCAAGCAGGGACGTTCTGGTCCAGACCGAGGGACCGATGCGTGCTCTGGGGACCCTTGGGCTCTTGGCTTCTGCAGTCTGAGCTTCAGTGCTCGTCGTTGTGGTATTGAAAGTGGAGTAACTAACCGTGGTGCTAACGTTTATATTCTACTTATGCCCCAGATACTGCTTTTTAAACTCCTGATTCATTTTCACAACAACGCTGTGAGAGAACTCCTGTTATTTTCATTTTTACGGATGGGAATTTTACAGAAAATGAGACACAGAAAGGTTAAGTTCTTTGCCCAGATCCCAGAGCTACTAAGTGATGGCTGGAATTTGCATCCAGTTTTGTGTAATTCCAGAATCCGTCCCTGTCCCCCTCATAGAAAGTTCAAGTGAGGTCTCATTAAATCACTGTTTCTCAGAGCTTGACACATGGACTTCTGATATATAGATACGATTTTAGGAGGTACATGGACCTAACATTAATGAACATTGAATCGTATATTGAGAAAGTTACTCCCTTTTCAATCCTCTTTCAGTTTTCATTGAAGTGAAATTGTCAGTTTGATGCTTGTATACCTTTAATACTTCTTTAATCAAGTCTCTTCAGAGATAAGATTTTAGAGCTTTAGACATTTTTATTTAGCCTGAACAGAAAGAGCTTTAAGGGATTTTATGGTTACCTTCACGTTATAACTGGTTATTCTATTTACAATAGAGGTGTAATTTTTTTCTTGTGAACAAGTATGAGTGGAGTAATATGAGAGACATTCAAATATAGAAATGGGTGAAGGTGTTAGTCAAATAACAGGAGTGTGAGAAGCACTGGAGTCTGTGGAGGTGTTGTTTGGCTTCAGTCTTTTTTTTTTTTTTTTTATTCATTTGACAGAGAGAGGGGTATCACAAGTAGGCGGAGAGAGAGAGGAGGAGGAAGCAGGCTCTCTGCTGAGCAGACAGCCCCATGAGGGGCTTGATCCCAGGACCCTGGGATCATGACCTGAGCCGAAGGCAGAGGCTTTAACCCACTGAGCCACGCAGACGCCCCTGGCTTCAGTGTTGAACACATTGTTCTAAGGCTTGACCTATTCTGAGTGTAGGAGATCCACATGTGACTGTAATGTAGCCCTTGCCTACCCAAAGTCTGTAGTCTACTTGGGAAGATTGATAGATGCCTTGCCAATTAAAACATAGTGTGAGGGGCGCCTGGGTGGCTCGGTGGGTTAAAGCCTCTGCCTTCAGCTCGGGTCATGATCCCAGGGTCCTGGGATCGAGCCCTGCATCGGGCTCTCTACTCAGTGGGGAGCCTGCTTCCCTTCTTCTCTCTCTGCCTGCCTCTCTGCCTACTTGTGATCTCTGTCAAATAAATAAAATCTTAAAAATAAATAAATAAAACGTAATGTGATTGCATGGAGAGGGCCTCCTCTTCGGCAGAGAGAATAGTATGTCAAAAAGGTCACTTCCATGATAGAAGTTATTTTCTATATTCCAGATGAATTTTCAGACTGATTGTGTTAGGCAAGTACTTTCCTACAGATCTTAGATGCCTACTTTTAGAAGTACCACTGACGTGTTCTCTGTGCTAGTCACTGTTCTGGACCCTAGGGATCGTATAGTGAACAAAACACATGCACACGCACACAAATCTCTGCTCTTGTAGAGTTTATATCCAAACATATTAAGTGAATTAGAAATAATTATCAAGCATTTATTATGTACCAGGTACCATGCTAGTCCTAGGCTTATAAAACTGAGTAAAAGACAGCCCTGCCTTTAAACAGAAAGTGGGAAAGACAGACAAGTAGCCTAGAAATTTTAACATAGTATGTTAAGGACTAAATGAGGGATAAGGAATTCGTTAAACCAAAAGTTGCAAACTGATAGCCCACCTCTAGACTATTTATTGACCTCAGTGTCTCATTTGGAAATACTTCCCCTTGCTTGGCAAGCACATTCACATCTCTTGGCTTAAACATACCCCCCTCTCTCTGCACCCGCTGAAACATCCCTGACTATCCTACTTAAAGCTTTGTATGGACTGTAATCATCTTGGTGGAGACATTGTGTGTTAGGTGCTGCATGGTATGATCAGAAGTCTTCCCTTTAAATTCCATGTGTTGCATGTCAGAGCAGCAAGGAACCTTAGTGGTCGTGGAGGCCATCCCAGTTAGAGACAAGAAAAGTGCAGGGGCGGAGGGGGGGTGTGCAGTGCCTGGCTCGTTCATTTGGTGGATCCCATGTCTGATCCTTGATCTTGGGGTTAAGTGTGAGCCCCACATTGGGTGTAGAGATTACTTAAAAATAAAATCTTTTTAAAAAAAAAGAAAGAAGAGGTAACTGAGGGGCAAAGTAGAGAAGCACTTTGGCTAAAGTTACCCATGAGTCCCAGCCACGTCGGAATCTGCAGCCCAGTTAGGTATCCTGACTCCCAGCCTGGTACCTTTCCTGTTTTCAGTCAGCTTCTTGGTCAGTGAAGGCATAGTCTTGGCCTTTGTGGACACTGACCAAGGGATATAGGCTGTCCCTTTGGGGATGCAGGGGGTAGCACTACACTGCCTGTCGCTTTGACCCCCTCGTGCCTTGTGACGTTACAGAGCACCTACTGTGCCACCATGGTCCAGCACTGTGAAGCCCTCAATCGGTCCGTGCAAGTTGTGAACCTAGATCCTGCAGCAGAACACTTCAACTACTCCGTGATGGCTGGTGAGTCCTGAGCAGAGCCTCCCCACTCCTTCAGGAGAAGGGGTTGGAGAGGCCATGAGTGCTGGCTGCTTGGCACAAAAGCTGAAAACTTAATTATTATAGTCTGTTGCCCTATTCCATGGTGAACAATATGAGGCAGAATGTCATTTGGTGACATCCACTCATGATGACATGTGTGACAGTATCCTTTCTTGGTCTTTAGATTAGGAATTAAGTGAGTAGACTCCTCCCTCCTCCCTCATCACACTTCCCTTCTGTCCCCTTCCATGCTTAATCCTGCTGTGGTGAATCGGGTTTACTGCAAATTGTAGTATAAGTGAGCAGCTTAACTCTTTCAAGTTTTTAAAAATTCTTTTAGGGGCACCTCCTGGCTCTTTCTCTCTAAAAAAAAAAAAAAAAAAAGAAGGACACCTAGGTGGCTCAGTGGGTTAAAGCCTCTGCCTTCGGCTCAGGTCATGATCTCAGGGTCCTGGGATCGAGCCCCACATTGGGCTCTCTGCTCTGTGGGGGAGCCTGCTTCCCCCCTCTCTGTCTGTCTCTGACTGTCTACTTGTGATCTCTCTGTCAAATAAATAAATAAAAATCTTTAAAAAAATAAAAAAAATTTTTAAAAAAAGAATTTTTTTTAAAGATTTTTTTATTTATTTATTTGTCAGAGAGAGAGAGAGAAAGCAAGTGAGCACAGGCAGACAGAGTGGCAGGCAGAGGCAGAGGGAGAAGCAGGCTCCTTGCCGAGCAAGGAGCCCAATGTGGGACTCGATCCCAGGATGCTGGGATCATGACCTGAGCCGAAGGCAGCCGCTCAACCAACTGAGCCACCCAGGCGTCCCTAAAAAAAAGAATTTTATTTACTTAATTTTTTTAGAGGGGCAGAGGGAGAGAGAGCGAGAGAATCTTAAGCAGGGTCCACGCCCAGTGCAGAGCCCAACTTGGGGCTTGATCTCACAATTGTGAGATCATGTCCTGAGCCAAAATTCAAGAGTTGGACAATTAGCTGACTGAGCCACTCAGGCGCCCCTCAAATAAAATTCTTTTAATTTATTCATTCAGATGTCTTTTGAACACCTACTTTTTGCCAGACACCAGGGTTCTAGCAGAGAACAAGGCAGTCATTATCCTAGCTTTCATGGACTTTTTTTAGCAGGGAGATGAGCAAAGGGATAAACATTACAGATTGTGGTAAGGACTGCAAATTGGCCGATGAGAAGGAGTAATTGGGGAGGTTGCTTTAGGAAGGATAGTTGAGAAGAAATCTTAAGAAGAGAGATTTGGGCCCAGACCCGAAGATAGTAAGGTCCTCGCCAAGCTGGGGAGAGGCCTTCCAAGATGAGGGGACATCAGGTCAATAAATGGCCTTGAGATAGGAAGGGGTTTGGTATGTTTTGGAAAAAGCAAACATGTCAATGAGCTGGAGCATCAGGAGTGAAGGAAAGAAGCAGGTAGGTGCTAGTAGGACAGGAGAATTTTGGGTTCTGTCCTGTTTTTTAGTCTGTTTGAACTGCCTTAATAAAATACCACAGATGGGGCAGCTTATAAACAACAGAAATGTATTTCTCATGGTTCTGGAGGTTGGATGCCCAAGACCAGGGCACCAACATAGTCAGGTTCTGGTGAAGGTCCTCTTCTAGGTGGCAGACTGCCAACTCCCCACTGTGTCATCACGTGATGGAGGGGGGCAAGGGATCTCTATGGGGCCTCTTTTATTAGAGCACTAATCCCATTCATGAGGCACCATCCTCATGACCCAGTTGCCTCCCTAAAGCCCCACCTCCTATTAGTATCACCTTGGGTATTCGGTTCTAAACATCAAAATTTTGAGGGAACACAGACATTCAATCTGTAGCATTGAACAGGAGAATGCCATTGAAGGGTTGAAACC